ATTATACCAGTGGCGGTCAAACGATGGGGGGGGGGGGATGAGGGGGATATATCCCCTTCCATGACCTTTTTTTAAATATTTATAATTCATCCATATTATACATAATATAATATAGGTATTCATTTAATTTCTATTTAAAAAAAATAAATATACTGTACTTATTAGTTATTATACAGTCTCTAGGCTCGAATAAAGTTAACAGTTCAAACGTAAAACACTAAAATATTAATTGAAACAAACTTTTTAGATTTTTATCATTTCCTTTGTAGTTTATTTATAAGAATGTATGAAATTTAAATTTAGTACTTAATGCTTAACATAATATATTATATTATTATATGAATTGTGTAATTATATTATTTTAGAGTCGTCTCAATGATTTAACCACCATGGTTGTTCATCGTGAGGTTGTCAATATAACTGTAGACGAAGTACTGGACGAATTGACAAATAAAACCAGAAAAATAGATTTAATAATATAAATATCATTAATATAATATAATTTCCATGTTAAAAATAAAGATTTTTATATATAGTGTTTGTTAAAAAATCAGCTACATCCCCCCCCAAGACAAAATTATTTGACCGCCACTGGATTATACTATTACTCATCAATAACACACTGAACGAGAAAATTAATTAATACATCATATATATTCTATTTTCACAATTATTATAAATTGTTATATTTAATTATACTAATATATATATAATATAAATAAATTAATATTTTTACGTATCATATAAAATTAACGACAAAACAGCTGCAATAAAAAACGTTATCATATTTTCTACGAGATACGTAAACGTAATATATCGTCGACGAAGTTGAGTTAACTATTCACGTGGTCGTTTTTCGTTTTATCATAATTGTTATATTTATAGAACAGTAACGTCGTTAGCGGGCAGGCAACTTAGGCCATTGTCTGGGGCAGCGATGCGCAACGTTTTTTGATCCACGACCCTCAAATTAATTTATTTCGACGAGGCGACCATTCCTACCAATATTATGTAAGTGTATAATATACGCATATTTAATGTAAACAAAAATGTTATTCACATAAATCGAATCGTTAGTTTTAGACAATTTTAATATGTATTTAATTTGATTTATCTAAAACAAAAAAAAAAAAAAAATACTAAATTTAAAGTTTTATAAATACAAATGTATATAAATTAATATATATATTCGTATAACTTTTTAATTTTATGTTCAATTATTGACGACCTCATTATAAAATTTAGCGACCTCAAGGTTGCGCACTACTGGTCTAGGATCTCGTGCTTAAAATAAATTCGGGAGCTCTTAATTTGTCAAGTTAAAACAGTTAGATATGTTTAGGGCGTAAGGAAATTGTACTGCTTTTGCCTAAGACCTCGCAAATGCTTGCGGCGGTACTGTTTATAGACACCATAATATTGTAACAACTACATGGCTACATTTGTAACGAGGGTCCGAGTTTTGATTTGTGAAATAACATAAAAAACGCGTTTAATAGTAATAATACAGTATGCTTATTATCTCGAATTAAAATCGTCCACAATAGCAATTATTCGCCGAGAAATCCACTAAACGTCTCGGATCAACAGTTCGAAAGTTGTAGTGAAAAAAAAAATGTATTTATTTAGATGTTTATTTATTTTTTTTTCACAAGTCGTTGGTTTTCAACTCGTTTCCGATTTTCGGTTTCTAAGGTGGTTGTATCGTTATATTATGTATGTACGGGTGTTTATCGAGAGCGGAAATAAAAACGATCTTGGTGTTACACAGGTGATACAGATGAGTTGTACTAATAATATTATGAAACGTGAGAGACCATTTGGATAGTGTTATTATATAATATTTTCAATCTAAATTTAAATTATTTTTTTCTTCAAGTTTTTTCTCAATGTAGTTTATTAAACCCGTAAACGTATGAAAAAAAATATCTTTAAAAGGCAAAATAAAATCAACATTTTTATATTCTCTGGTGCAGTTGTGTATTGTAATACATGTAATTGGAAAACTATATTTTAAGGCGACTCGAAAAAACTGTATTCGTCATTCAAATCCGTTCTTCTCCATGCAGACTTGTTGGCATGATTAGCTTTGGAACAGTGCCCGCGTTCTATCTATACATCACGCATGATCGATAAATCACTCAAAATAAATCATTTTAGACGTTGCGCCTGAACGTTCGAAAAAGCGAAACTCAATTAACGGTTTAAATTGCGCTCAGAGTGTGAAATTATTCAAAATAGATTCACGTAGAGATATCCGCTCTATATCAACAATTTGTCACTTTTATAATTATTTCAACTATTTGTAATGTTATATCATGTAACGACCAATTTTACTTATTTATGTTATACATGTATATCAAAATCAAATATATGAATGTATTATTATTTGTTACATAAGTATGTATGTTATTTATAAGCACAACATGTTTCCATAAACATTTAAGTACAAATATTTGTATTTATTCAAATAATATTGAATAAAAAAAAAAAAAAAAAACCATTAACTTCTAACAACTTATGAGGATTCGAAGAACTTGTTCAGTCGCAAGAAATACAATTTTTTCTTGATCGAACATAGTACAGGTTCTATTCAAATATTAAAAAATATTAAATACTCATTAATAAAAAAATAAATACTCATTAAATGTCGTCTTTAGTTTTTCTTAAGAATTGTCAGGGGATATAGATTTATAGTATAGGCTGTAGTGGTACATTTTTTTTTTATTTATCAACTTTTATTTACTTTCCTAACATATTTTTTGCTTTTAAAAACTATAGCATGTATTTGGACCGAAAAATTCGTGGATTCTGTACTCGTATTTACTGAGAAATGTTGTGGAAGTGTACAAATACTTTAAAGTTGAAATTTAAAATTTAAGTACTCTGTAGATTGGAGAACATAGGACTTGAGGTAAGTTTTTTCAAATAGTTAAATATCGTATACTTGTATCCTAACAAACACTTGACCGTCGAAAGAGGGAAGAATTCCAGACAATCTCTCAAAAAAGTCATTATATTAAATTAGTGACTGTACAGTCCAAGCCTTTCTTTATTCCATAACCACAATTCACTCCTACTTTCATTAGAAATACTGTTCTTTTATTTGTATAGCTTAACACTTGGCGAGTTTTTGAGTATCTTAAGGTATGGGGATAAAATCGGATAAATTGGTTCGCGCAAAGTCACGCTGACGTTGCTGGAACTTGACCGGTATGCTACCGTGTGCTCAGATTCTTAATTAATAAAGTATTTTACATTTTGGCATTTGAAATCTGGACAGTTTCAATTTTCATATAGAACAGCACTATAATATGATATAATACTATTAGAACATTGTTTTTCATTCGTACATTAATTTCTAACATTTTATACCTCTTTATTTGTATTTACTGTAAAGGATAAATAATAATTGTATTTAGTTATATATTAACTAATCTTATAATTATTTTTCAAAGTTTAAAGAAAATATAAAATAATTACACGAAAATAATAATATTATTATAGCTATATTATAGTTGTAAGGTAAGTATTAATTTTATTATTTTAATATTATTGATATATTCTCATGCTACTGGAATTACTTGATGAATTTCAGTCATAGTATCTTTAGTTTTTCAAAACAATACAATTTAATAAAATGTTTATGTAGATAATATAACCCGGTGCACCGTAACTGCTTATGCATCGTGGCCATTTTGTAATATATCACCTAAACTCCGTATACAAGGTTTTTTTTTTACACTTCAACTCCGCGTATAATTTTTTTTAACACCTTAACTTCACACATCATTTTTGTACATAATTTAAAATTTTGAGAAAAAAAACAATCAGTATTCTATCAATTGGCCGTCGTTATATAATTCTATGTTTTTATTTATAAATTCCATATTGGTTTTTTTTGTTTAGTTCTAACTATTTTATAGTGATATCTAATAGGTTTATTGATAAATGTGGAGCTCCAATGTTTTCGATATTTCAAACAATTTTATGCCATGCGGACTTTCGATGTTAAAAATATTTTTAGAATGCGGAGCCACGGTACGTTAATTTTTTTGACTGTGCGGAGTTGCGGATTTACAAAATAATTTTATTCGTGTGGAGCTATGGTGCGCCCATATGATCATTATATTAATAAATTATAACCAATTATCGACAATATAATTCACATAAAACTATTTGAATATATAAAGAAGATATTTTAAAACAATAATACAATTTTTAAAAAATAATTAAATGATTCACTTAGATGAAAATGTAATTAAAATCCTATTACTTTTAACAAACTAAAATACAGTCAATTATCAATACAAAATACTGTACTTTGATTGGTAATAGCATGTTGAAATCTCTATACATTGTAGATTTCAAGATGTTTATCTAATTAAACAGTGTCAGGTGAACCTTGTTAGACCATGTTATCAGACTCTTATGTATCTGAGTAAGTTTAGTTAGTAATTACTTACTAGCTAAAATATTTAAGAACCTCAGTACAACCTATATTACAAATTGTATTAGACATAACATTTATTTGGTTGTTTTTTAGATTGCATAAATACATTATTTTATTATAAAAATCAACATTGCATTGTATAGAAAAAAAATGTATTATCAAAAGATATATGTGAAATTCCAGAAGGTAGAAACATAAGACTTTCTACTGGAGTTTCGTGGCAAATTGACATAACTAAAAAATTTAGTTATTTAATCTAAAATATTAATCGTTTACTGTAACCATGAGAAACAAATATATTTTCTGATATTTGAGAGATTTATCGATCTCTAATTTAAATAATTCTATAACATAGATTATTATTCAAATAACTATGACATTAAAACAAATTCAAAATTATTTAATAATGTACAAAAAAATCTAACGACCACTCAAAATAATATTAGGTACCATATGATAACCTTCATGTAATAGTCATCTTTTATTTTTATTTTTTTATTTGCCTTTATTAAAAAAAAAAAAAAAAGTAGTCATCTTCATGCGAAATATTTGTATAATATCAAGATTCTGATTTTTAATCTGAAAATCCAACATCATTGTGTAATTGTGTAACTGTAAATCGTGTCACTAGTCTGAGTGCAATATTTTTCTTTGTGAGATATTTGCATACTCATAGAGCTATACGGTTAGCTTTTACAGCTGTAGTAATGGGCCCTTATGTAATTATTTTTGAGTTGTTGACATTTATTCATTTTGATGTTCTCCAAGCTGTCTTAGCACGGGTTTTGTATGAACTTCAAACAGTTTGACAACTGATTTTTCGCCATCAACGCATAACCCATCTAACCGTGGGCACGAAATTTTTCACAGCCTCTTTAAACTTGTAAACTTGTTAAGATTTTTCGTGACCACTTTGGTCTCCGGGTGATAGACTCGCACCTGAAGAAAAAAAAAACCGATGATGAAAAGTGCAATTAAAATCTGATCTCGAGATAAACACTCATCACCGTGCTGAACACAAAAGTGCGAAATTATAAGGTGTACGTTTTGAGAAATGTATTTGATCAATCAGGGCATCAATATTTTATTTAGACGAACGGAATAGAAAAGAAACTACCATTGAATTATTTTAAGACCAAAATATATTTGATGGATCTCGTAGCTCGTAGGACCATATTGCTGACATCGTAAACATTAAAGAACAATTAATGAATTTCAATGTATTGTTCGAACGAGAAAAATCGCTACAATATTCTGAAAATTAAACATTTTAAAATTTCTTCTGGCTTTGTTGAAGAGGTAATAATTTTAATTTAATTTTTGTTAAATAAAAAAAAAAAAAGAAGCCCAAACTATTCGACCGGACCATTAGTAAGAGATACCTAATATTGTGTTAGTACTGAGAATGAAAATTAAAGAAGAACGAACTGGCGATAAAATGTTACAGTACTCTACTTGGCGTTTATTGATATTTAGAGCAACAAAGCAGTTTTCTAAATGAATAATAAGTTCAGATCGTTCATATTTAGGAATAATTCATAATATCACCAAAAATCAGCAATATTATTCACTCTACGGGGTTACTAAAGCTCTTATGTTGAACTAATTATGTTTTAAAACTATTTATTGTTAATCTGTTCATACATTCAGTTAGTGGCGTATATAGAAGGGGGATGCTTAGTGAGCTACAGTCCCCCCCCCCCGAAATATTTTAAAAAACTTAAAAATTATTTTAAACGTATGTTATATTTTAATGCTGCTTTATGCTTATTTAGAATTTGCGTCCAACGTTAAATCATTTTGGGGCATTCTGTAAATGAAATGTAGATAAGTGCCTACTGTGTCTTGTTAGTAATTCTTAGATAGCAGTGGTAATTTAATTATGTCCATAGTAGCCCCTCCTGAAAATATTTTCTGTATACGCCACTGCATACAATGTTCTATTTGCAAATTTTAAAAACTCAAGATCGATTATAATATTTCGATATTTTAACAGCAATATATTCATACCTATTTGACATAATAATATTTGGTAAACAATTAACTCTGAGGGAGTAGAAATAATTGATTAATATTTGTATATAATGATTAGTCTTTTATTGTTATGTATTTTAATGATTTTATTGTTATTTATTTATATCACCATATTAACTTATTGTGTTTGAAATTTTTTTTTTAGTTTTTATTTAAATCAAGAAAAAAATGATATACATACTATGAAAATAGCATTCCTAATTATTTTTACTACGAATGTTTTTTCACTGTTTTAAAAATATTTATGTAAAACCATTAATCAGACCTTCACTCATTTTTGTTATGTTGAAAATCTGAAACGGCAGGGAACTGGAAATTATAATTATTGAGCTATTTAAATGTTGGCTCTTCTATTAAAAAAATAATACTTAAATAGTAAATACTTCAGACCAACAGCATTATTATTAATGTTGAGGTATAAATAAATTAATTTTAAATAAAATATCTTATTAAATTCATGCAACCCCAGTAATTTATATTGAATTATGTAATGTATTTTATCATTTCGATGCTTCTACGTTTTATAACGTTATGTCTTATGACGTTAAGCGCTGAAATGTAAAATCACAAATAATTATCCTAATGGTAGGTATATACAGCTGCAGATGACTGGATTCTTCACGTTAATCGACTTATTTAGTTTTGACTAGAGATGTAATGTATATTCGAATATTTGAGTATTTGAACATTCGAATATCAGTATTCGATGCTACAATACCTATTATTATTAAACGTTTTGTGTTGCATGAAAACTTAGACGAATAATTTTCGTTACGTATTGTATTGTAGAATCGAATACTGATATATTCGAATGGTCGAACAATTCCCATCACTGATTTTGACTCTAATGCTGTATCGAAAGTAATGAAATTCAATACATAATATATTATGTTTAATATATTTACGTAATAAAATTTTTGTATTGCTATTGATGTACCTATTAATATGTACAATTGTAGTTTCTGAATAGGAATTGTAATACAGTTAAAAGTGTCACATGAAAAGCATATTGAAAATACCAATACGTATTTTCATCATGCCAACTGCAATATGTAATAACCCAAAAAACATTTATTTCATGAAGTCAAGAAATTATAATACACATAATGTGAAATTATTGTATAGCAATAAAAGACATTCAACGACTGTCACCCGTTGTTTTACAATAATTATTCATTTCGTTACGTTTCTCTTTACAACTTCGTAATTGCAGTACCCGTCATGATTATGTTCTGTCATTGCTGTTATTTTGGCATTGTTCCGAATACATAAACTGACTTTCGATTTTAAAACATTTGTTTTTGTGTAATATTACTTATATATGTCTAATGTAAATTTCGATTTAACATAATCAATAACTTAAATCGAGTTCAAGAGCAGCATACTCGTCAACACTGGTATACTTACAGTTTCTTAGATCTCAAACAAACTTTTTGAACTTAAAAGTTGCAGTCCAAAGATTATTGCTTGCTTAAACTAACAGAATCTTCACCTCTTCAGTTATTGGTTTGGTCAAATGTTAATAAAAATACAACATATGCGGTACCTAATTCCATTTACATGTTGTATACAATTTTTCGGTTCGAGAGAATGTTACAAATACTCCGCATCCGACCTTAAGTCATTTTTGAAACGAACTCAATTTTGTGATCTATATGTTTTCATATTTTCTATTTCAAGAAGAAAATAAAGGATAAACTTGGAACGTACCAAACCTTTCCATTTGAGGGAACATTTAGATTCATTATATCGTTACAACGAATACCTTAGCAATTCCCAAGAAAGTGGAGATATTGACAATGCGATTTCATATTGTGAGTTTTAACCCGATTTTTCAAAATGTTTTAAATCCAACCTAATGACGTCACATTACAAAAAATTCAGTGATAAGCGTTTTCATAGTCCTAATATATTGGAAATTAATCAAAACTATAGGGGATTACTAAATGATTGAATTTAAAAACAAATATTTCTTCTTTTTAATTATATTTTTACTCGTATATTATACTGTTTCTTACGAGTTTATTGAATGATGCAGCTTTAATAACGGAATACTTAATTTGTCTAGGTTTAATATTTTTCGTTGCGACACATTTGCAGAGCTCTTTGGTTAGCTCTTAAAGTCGTAGTGGGCTTTCGTATACTTTGTTTTAAGTTGTTGACATTTATAAATTTTGTACTCATCAACCAATATCAAACTTTCCCTTTCCTATATCTTATTATTCTCGAAAAATCATACTTATAGTGCATCTATAATGCGTGTTGTAAATGTTGACCCAGATTTTCAATTAGTTTATCTAATTAATTAACAATAAAAACTTTTATTTCTCAAGGTTTAGTTGTGTGTCTGCTATCTGTGTAAGTTTTATTTTATTTTTATTTTTATTTTTATTTATTATCCTGTTGATTATACTTTTTTATTGTCTGTACTATTTATTATTATTTTTGTCTTTATTGATATTGCGATTCAGCCTATTAAGCGGACAGATAATTAAATAAAATCCGATGTTGGACAAAGTTTACGAGAATCGAATGATGTGATTAACAAATATTTCATTGTCCTATAGGTACATTTTTACTTCTCCGTTCAATTCAATTATTGTAATGCTTATTATATGGATACTGTAACCGTTTCATTGATGTATCAAAACACATTAACCGAGAAACTCTTAAAGTTATTTTAAAGCATTTGAAATTATTATTTTATTTAAAACGACACTTTGTTTTAAAAAATAAAAATAAAAATATTAATAATGATTGAAAAAGTCTTACTTCGCTCACTTGTCTCAAGCCGATACTGTCATTGTGCTTTGATTCTGAGAGAAATAACGAACCGTCGCATTCAAAAAACTATCCAGAGATTATTTCAGTCTTTTACGTAGTAGTATTTACGAGTTGTGATGATGAAAAAGAAAAAAGCCGGGGCGTACCGTAATCCATTGTTGTGTTAGTTTTATTATTTGTATATGTTTGAAAACAACGACAAGTCAAACGAAAAATGTCTACTGAAGGTCGTTATTAAAATAATAATGTCTTATTTGGTATACAGTAGACTTTCGATACTTTAAAATTTAGAGAATTCATGTGAAATTCGATTTAGCGATAGTTTGAATAATCCTCGGAAAAAATAAATAATTCGAATTTTATTTTATTACATTATATACCATATCTATTATTTAATTTTTACATATAGTTTACGTTTTGATAAGTTTTGGAAATTAAATGTTCAGAGATACTAACTTGTAAAATATGTTAACAAGTTTAACATAATGAAACGGTATACAGAATATGCATCACCATGAGATACAATATGTGTAGCCTTAAAATTTAAAAAAAAATAAAAATAACTACAAGTTGACGTGATGTGTTACGGAAATAAATTATGTGTAACCAATGAAATATAAAAATCTATAAATGATTCATTATTTCAATCCCCACACTTAAATATTTTGATTTTACACTTGATCAAAGTTTAACTTGAGCCTATCATATTCGAATTAAAAGATTAGCCTTAAATAATCGCTTACACATGTTCAAAATTTTCGTTTATAATGATAAATATACCAACTTAAATATTTTATTCTCTTAGTACATGAATGTGTACTAAGACCAAAATAAAAATTTGGAGTTCTGTTTTGGGATAATGCGAAAAAGTAATATAAATAAAATCGAAACATTTCAAAATATTTTCCTCTGTAAGCTCATAAATGGCTCTCCATACGTATCGAATCATACATTTGATACTGACCTTAAACATAAAACAATCAATAAGGAAGCCAAGTTCTTATATAAAATATTTTACAATCGACTTGATTTTCACGAAAATCCTCTCATCCAAAATTTGGCCTCTGCTACGATATCTGGTAATCTCCCAAGACGCCTAAAACGCAAGTGGTGTCGTGATT